TCGCCTGCCCCCCTGGTTTCCCCCAGGGGTGCAGGGCAGCCCCCAGCAACCGAGGGGACCAGAGAGGTTTGCCTGCCCTTGCTTGCCGCTGCCCAGCTCTCGGTGGGGCTGGCCGGCTGCTCCGGCACACAGCCGCCTCCTGCCCTCTCCGCAGCTCCAGATGGACTTGCGTGCTTATTCGGAGAGGGTCCTCTGGCGCAGACAGCGCGAGATCTTCCAGCCTCCGCCCCAAGGGGAAGGTAACCTCATTGCCTCCTCCCTGTCATGCTGCGGGGCCAGGCGCCAAGGCACGGCCAGGCAATCCATCAAACGGGGGCATTTCATCCGTCCCGCACTGCGGGCCGGCAGCGGGCTCCCCCCCCACTACTCCGGCTGTGGCAGCATGTTGCTGCGCTAATGGGTTTATCTATTACGGAGCAGTGGGGGAAAAGGATATTAGTGAGAAATTAGCAAATTGAATCATGGCCTCCAGAGCCGGTGCAGACAGGGTATCTGTAATGCAATTCCCAAGCCCAGATACTTCAACGTCTAATTAAGGAAAGATGCAAGCAAGGCAGGAGCACAGGGGGCAAGCTTGAAGATGTAATCAAAAGGCAGGTATCGGAGAGCTGATTGCATTAGCCCAGCTGCCCGCCAATCACCCTGTGGTGGTGGTGGGGGGGGCAGGGGGCAGCAAGCTGCAAGGGAAGAACCAGCTAGCAGAGGGGTAGAGATCAGTCCTGCCCTCTTCTGTTACCCTATGGTGCCTCTGGTGTCTCCATGCACCTTTCAACTGAGTATGGAACCACAGTCTGGATCGTGCAGAGACCCCGGCACCAGTGGAGGAAAACTCAGCATGGGAATACCCTGCCAGCAGGTCCCTCTGCTTGGGTATGAGAGAGAAACACTGGCATTGGACAGCCACCAGCTGTGCTGGAGCTTCAGTACCTCTGGCCGGACAGGGTCCTCTATCCCGACCACAGCGATGCAGGTCAGGTCAGACAGGATCTCATTCTCGCTGTCCCAGTCTGGCTCGGCATCAGCAGGAAAGGCGCGGGAAAAAAACAGCAGGAAAGTCGCGGAAGGCCAGGCAGATGGTCCGTAACCCATGGCAGGCCATGGGCTCAATCACCTTCTTCACCATCTCATCTCGGTCCTTCACCTTGAATAGCCGGGGGTCACCGTTCTTGTCCAGGATCTTGGTGCACCTAATGCCAGGATAGGGAGGGGAGGTTAAGCGAGATGTGGCCGTGGCAGAGGCATGCAGCCTGCTTAGCGAGGTGCTCAGGAAGGACCCCGCATTAATTACAGTAATCCATTCTCTTCGTTGCTCAGTTCTCCATCTGTAAAATGGGGGCATCCCTCTGACCCATAGCTGCCTAGAGCTTTATCAAAGCCACAGTAAAAGAGTAAAACGCTTTGCAAGGCAGCGCCATCCCGCGATCTCCCACTCCCTCCCTGCTCTACAGGGCTTGGCATACTCCATCCCACAGCTCCCCAGAATTGTTCCCCAGTGCCCTGGGACCCAAAAGCCAACAAGCTCATGCCAGGAGGCAACACAGAGGCCTGCAGGACCTGACAGCACAGGAGAGGAGCCACGTAGCGAGGGAGAGCGGGAGGGCAGTTACTTGCGGAGGATGATCTCGGAGGCTCCCTTGCTGTACATGCGGAAGCTGCCATTCACGTTCCTCAGCACCGTGCTCATGGACTTGCGCACCGAGTTGAAGGTGTAGACCTTGTACAGCTTCTCCTCTGGCACCTCGTTCCGCACAGCCTGGTAATCTTGCTTCAAGTCCAGCACAAAACCCAGCAGGGCGCACTCGGTCTTGTTCCCCACTTGCCGGGGTAGCCCCCCTTCCTTCTCTGGTGGCTGGAGGGGAGAAAGGAAAAGCAATGCCAAATCTCAGTACAGCAGGAGACGAGCTGTAGGGACAGGCTGATGGCCAGAGGTTGTCCGAGAGCAGGCTGGGACGCACCAGGATCTTGGACGTGTAGGCAGAGTTGACAGCGACACCGTTGACTATGAGGTCCAGGACCTTGGGCAGGATGGCTTCAGGGTCAGGGATCTGGCGGTAGTGGGTGTCTCCCACATAGGCCTGCACCACAGTCATGCGGTTCATGGTGAGCGTGCCTGTCTTGTCCGAGCAGATGGCAGTGGCGTTGCCCATGGTCTCACACGCATCCAGGTGCCTCACAAGGTTGTTGTCTTTCATCATTTTCTGCAGCAGGCAACACAACCAGCACCAGAAAAATTAGAGAGAAAAAGCCCACATTTCCCTATCGCACCCTCCACACCCCTGGGGATCCTGCTGTATCATGGCCTCACCTTGACAGAGTAGGCCAGGGAGATGGTGACTGCCAGCGGTAGCCCTTCAGGCACAGCCACCACTAACACAGTGACGCCGATGATGAAGAACTTGACAAAGTACTGGATGTAAATGGGGGTGCACTCTGCCAGCCAGGGCCGGCCCTGCACCCCAAACGTGTCAATCACGAAGTACAGCACCAAGATGATGACTGTGATGGCTGACATGATGAGTCCTGGGGAAAGAGGCAGAGGAAGAGGTGAGGGTGTGCAAGCTGGTGGAGCCCAGTCTCCCCACCCACACGAAGCAGCTGCAGCACGTCAGCGCCGCTAGCACCCTCCAGTCCTCTGAGAGGGCACTCTATGCAACAGCATATGCAGAGATCCAAGGCTGGACGAGTCCAAGGAGATCCCAGTGCCCCTGTAGAGCTGGGGGAAGGGATATCCCTGTCTCAATACGCCATTTGCAACGAGAGCTCTGGTGAAGACCATGCGCCGTACCTCTGGGGTCATGGCTCGTGCTGGGCTGCGTGGCCACTGTGACTCACCTGCCTTCCCGATCTGGACCGCCAGGCGCGTGAGCTTCCCTTGCAGCACAGACTTCTCCTTCTTGGGGACTTTCACTTTCTTCTTCTCCTTCTCCTCATTTTCCACCCCTTCCTGGCTCTTCAGGGGTTGGATCTCTAAGGCCACACCATCCTGAGTTTTAGCTACAGCCCAGGGTAAAACAGACACCACGTGTGAATAGGAGAGAGACCAGGAAAAACTCTTGGACACCGTTGAGAAAGATGGTGGTGGGAAAGAGAAAACCCAGAGCAAAAAACACTCCCTGCAACACACACGCCTCCGAGCACATGGAAACCTTGCAGTCCCAGGGACCTCTCTAAGGGGCACTCTTCTACCACCTACCCCACGGCCGCAGCCCCCAAGGGATACCTGCACCCTGGGAGAGGCTTCGGGAGTTGGATGTGTGCTTCCAAAGTCCTTTGGATAAAGGATGCTCAGAGAGGACACTGCACGCTGCTATGAGCTACTTAGGACTGTCCCCTGCACTAGTGACACCTCCCTACAGCAGTAGTCCAGGAAACCCCTGGTCAGGCTTTCAGGGTGCAGGTAGCTTTCTTCTAACCTCTCCTGCGGGTTGCTTTACACCCTGCAGCACACGCGGAGGAGTTTGGTCTGACCAAACCACCATGGACTCCGGTTCCCTTTGGCGTCTTGCACCAGCAAACAAAGCAGTGCCGCGACGGCAGGCGCTGGAGGCTACGGGACCTCCCTGCCACAGCTCCGCTCTGCACAGTGCTGGGCATCTGCTTTAATACCCTTTTGGCAGCTCAGCAAGAATCTCTTTCTACCGAGAGGGCCTGAGGGGTGAGATGAGGGGGAGGTTAGGCATTCACATGGAGTTTGACTGAAGGGGAGTGAACCAGCTCCTTGAACCCCAGCTCTGCGAGCCATCTGCCACGTTTGCTCTAGCATCTGAGACGGCCAGACGTTCAGCTGTTAGAATTTGGCCTAAACCCATGGCCTAGCCCAGCTGAAGGTCTGCACCAGGGAGACCCAGGCCAGCTGGAAATTTTGCAGAGGGATGGGAAGAGGGTGGACAACCCCCCCTCCCCGCAAGTCTCCTCCACAGCTGCTCGGGGCTGGGAGAAGCAGCGGCGCGCTGCCAGCGCCGGCCACCCGCTGCCCTCCCGGCTGCTGCCGCTCGAGCGTTAGAGGCACCCGGGAGGTCCTGGCTGCTTCGGCTCTGACACCTCCAACGTTACAACAGACCCCGACACGGACAAAACACGCACCCGGACACAGTCTGACGGGAAGGAGGGAAACTGCTGAGAGGAGAGAGAAAGAGAGGTGGAGAGAGAGGTGTGGAAATGGGTTTCCTCCACAGCCTGCAAAGAACAGGGTGAGAAACACGGGCGAGGAGACGCTCACGGAGTCGAGGTGGCCACGGCAGGAGAGGGTGCAACAGTCGCGCCAGCAGCCCCGCGGCGGGAGCCACTCGGCCCTCCCCACCACCTGCGACGGGAGCTGCGCCTCCCCCAGCTGCGCCCAAACCAGACCCCGCAGCGGGAAGGCAGTGACGGGCGTCCGAAGGATTCGGAGCCGCCAGACCGAGGCGGTGACCCACGCTAATAGGAACAAGGCTACCGCGAGAAAGGGCTGCGGACACCGTTACACCCTCTCCTGGACAAGGAGGCGAGAGGCCGCCGGAGCAAAGAGCACAGACTCATGAGAAGAAGGAAGGAAGGAGGAATGCTTGGTAGTTAGTGTGGTGCTGGTTCAAAGGATGGAGAGGCTGGTTACCTTTGTTGCGATTTTCAGGGGCTCCGGGTTTTTTACCTGTTCAAAGAGAGAAAGGGTGGAGGGCTGAGCACACGGATCTCGACATTCCCCATCCGGCTGGGGGGACCCTGCTCCGAGGGGCTGCGCTCT